GGGATTAGAGAGGGAGCGCCTGCGTTCTGCATGATCGGCCGCGGCGTGGGGGACGTTACCCTTCTCCACGCATCGATCCGAGCATGCAAGCCGCGGCTTATAAAAATTTCAGCAAAAGAAAGAGAGGGAGGGCGGGAGACACGAAGTGCAAGAAGAAAGATACAGTTACAATGGCGCCCGCCCAAAATTATAGTAGCCGCATGAAGAAGCGAGTAGACAAAAGGCACCGCGCGGCAAAAAAACTCCTAATTACTGAATTCCTAATTCCTATCTAATGCAGAAAAGCAAAAAGAAATTCCGAGAGCCATCGGGGCTCGACAGAATTCGAAAAAGACTCAAAAGAAAATTCAAAAGAACAAAGCAATTTCCCGCGCGATGTCCGCGTCCAAAAGATCGAAACCGAAACGAAAGAAACGACGTCAACATTTATTAATTGCGCGCGCGGTGGCACGCCGGACATCCATCCGACCAATCAATCAACCGACCGTCCCAAGGACACACCCAGCTCCGAACCCGGCCATTCGAAAAAGAAGCGACGAAAAAGGACGAAAAAGCGAGGACACTGATGCAATGCTCCACCGATCCCGATTTCCCGTAATTGGCCCAATCTTCCCAGCTTAGGACCCCTCGTTGCAACCGGGCAGAAAATCGCACGTTACAGGAAGTGGTTCGTCACACCGGTGGTTTCGTGAGACATGGGCACAAAGTGGTGGTTTGGCATCCATATCCCCGCTGGGCAGATTGGAAGTCTCAAGTTGGTTAGATAGGTAATTTGGAACCAGTAGATAGGAGTAGGAGACGTTGGTTATTGGCTTGTAATGATTTTCGGCCTTGTGGAACCTTATGGTTAAGAACCAGGTGCACTTTGTTCCAGTCGGCGCCCGTAGTAGGACGCAAAGGTGGGGAGGGTAGGAGAGTGTCAGGCAACTATAAAAGGACAAGTTTCCTCTCGACCGTCCTGGGCCGAGGACCAGACAGTTTGTAGGTCTGTGTATTAGAACTAGAATAGGCCAGGGTAGGATAAAGTAGATAGGGCTGCGAATATTTGGGTTAGATGATAATAAGTAGTTAAATACAATAGTAAGGAAGGTAATGTTGTATCTTTTTATGCATTCTTGAAGGAAGATTGAGAAAGTTTTTCCATCTAAGCTAAACCGGCTGACGCTGCCCGGATAACCCCGGGTTGAATTGTGAGGTCCCCGGCCTCAAGTGAATTTATTTTGAAATATATTGATTGTGTTTTTTGGGGGGGGAAAAAAAAAAAAAATTATTACCAATGAATGGAACAGAGACTGGGGACCTCACAATTCGGCTTCTGCTTGGTGCTGGAAACCGGGTCCAGCGTCCCCTGAAAAACCATTCACCATGTTGTCGGGGGGGGACCG